GTATCGGGAAATGAATTTTTGTGATATTTCAATGTATCGATATTTTCTTACACCCCTACTATTAAGTCATACTGATCAGAAACAGCAATCTGATTACTGACAGAAAAACTGAAAAGCAGTCATTTTATTTCATTACACTGTAAAATAAAATGAATTTTTATTTTATTTATTTTTATTTATTTAGTACTAAGTCACAGCTAAGGTCTACGAAAGAGGATTAGGGTCAATGAAATCAAAAATAAAAAAAAGAATTCTGACATTAATCTCAGAATTTAATTTTTTTTCACTGGTCCTTCATAAAGGTCATCTAATTTAGATCCTGATTCAAATCCACCTGCAGTCAATTCAGTTCTTATTATAATACCAAACATACACATTGGTACATTATAAAATGCCAATTAGTAAAAGTTGTTCCTGAACAAGTAACATTGGCGAGAGTGAAATAAAATGATTCCTTTTAGGGGTGCACCAAAAAATCGATTCACATCAGAATCGTGATTCAGAATCAATTTAACATGTCCCAAAATCAATTTTTAAAAATAAAGCAAATCCAGTGGCTGTCAGCCTTCATTTTGTAACTTTAAGGAACGCCCTTACACTGCCTCATAGCCGGTTCTGGAGTGTATGCATGAACAGAGTAGGGTTGGGCAATATTGGCAAAAAAAAAAAAAAATCACGATTAATTGTGGTATTTAGCCGATAACGATTAATTTGACGATTAATCCCCTGGAGTCCCTGGACATCCTTATGTCCTAGTCACATGACCAATTTAGTGGGAAAGATTTGCTCTTTGTAAAAATAACAGACCATCAAAATCACAGACTTTCAGGCTATACTGTACATCAAATTTTAACTTGTGTTGATGGATAAATAAATTACTGAACTTTTTTTTAATATATATATTTGTCATATATGAAGCGGAGAGAACCACTGAGCAGACTGACCGGTGGCATTAATCGTCAAGTGCCAAAAAATAACCGATTAATGTTTTTCTGATGATTAAATGCACACGATACGATTACGCCCAACCCAGAGAGCATCAAAACAAAGAGGAAACTACAAAAATGGAGGAAAGACACATCTAAATGGCCCAGTCTTCACTGAATGCAAACATGTGGGCTCATTTTGTTTTTACTGAATGTTTATGTATATTAAATATAAATGTCATGAGATGTTTTAACATCAAAGTCTAGCAAAAACAACGAAATTGTCAAAGAATAAAGGTTATTAAATTCTTTATGAAAATATAACTTACCATTGTTGAGCTTTGCATTTATTTTAGGCATCTTCTCTTGCTAAAATAAATAAATAAATAAATAAATAAATAAATAAATAAATAAATAAATTTACTAATACTGATATACACAAATCAAAAGTGTATGGTCGTCATTTTATTGTTTAGCACAGAAGATATTGTGTAGCTAGCTTACAAATTAATCTTAGCTACCTCACTCATTAAAAACATGTAAATATAAACAGTATGTTAAATGAAGCTATCAATTAAGATTAAATAAGCCACTTTTAATTTCAAATGTTAACCCTAATAATTTGTAGACAATCAGGGACATTTTTTTATTACCATTTTTCCGCTATTCTGAATCCACGATCTCAAAATTCCCACCTGAATATCCGACGTTTTACGTCACCAGTGGGCGTGTTCCGACCAGCCGTAAAGCGAAAAGCAGGAAGTAATCCACTGTTTTGGTTTTGTCATCTCAAAAGTGGTTAAAAACCTGTGTTCCTGTTTGGATTTTCTACTTTCGGAGCGGGATTTGATCTAAAGTAACCGAGCCGATCAACAAAACAAACAGTGAAGCCGTGAAGGTAAAGGAACATACAAAAAACATTTCAGAAAACCCAGTTCCTGTGAGATTAGCTGTTAGCTAACAGCAGAGACGCTCACTTGATGATACCAAGATCCTTTATTTTATTGATTTATTTTTATTTGAAATACACAAATATTAAATACACACTCACTCATTCAGAATATCGAAGATTGTCTAAACGTTTGATTGAACTGATGATATTTGACCACTATTTATTTGGTTTCTCTAATTTTAATTGTTCTTTTCCTACATGTTTTAAAAGCTCATGATATGAGTCGTAGTCGGAACCCCCCTCCTCCTCCTCGCGGTCAAGGAGCAGCCCGGGCCAAACAGGTGAGTAAATGATACCTGCTGCTAATGCCCTCTGCCAGGCCAGAAGAAGTCACCATCTTGTTGTAACTAAACAGTAAGCCTGAACCTCCCATTTAAAAAACACAGCAATGGTTAATATGTTTCTACTGTCAACAAACTAAATTTAGCTCTTAACTGTTACAATAAGTAAGCTTAAAATAAAATAACGATGTTTGAAGACGTATTTTGTTAGGGTCAAATGAACTTTCTTTATAAAAACAACCAAGGAGATTTCAAATGTTATTAAATTTAGGTTGCATTATAAAATCATGGAAAAATGGTGATGACTGGTGTTTTACAAAGAAATGGGGTTGGGGATTTTGTAATGTTTGTTCAAATCAAACAAAGCTGGTAATGGAGTTCAAAAATATTTTTAAAGTAGGAGTCATTTTGGGGTCTAAACATCTGAGCACGTAAAGCAACCGTTTATCAGCAATAAAAAGATTAGAATTTGGAGCTCTGGAAAATGTGATGTGGTCTGATGAGTCCAGAATAACTCCGTTCCAGAACAATTGAAGCTTGAGGGTAGGGCTGCCACAAACGATTATTTTAATAATCGATTAGTCGTCGATTAATTGATTAATCGTGGCAGCCCTACTTGAGGATGGTTTTAGTGATGTATCCAATGTGTTTAGTGTTTGTGAGACTACTTTTATCACCCAGCGGTGCTTAAATTATGAAAGGGCAGATTTGAAGGATTAGATGAAGTTTTTACACATTGATGAGCCGCCACAAATTCCATATCTAAACTTTGTTGAAAATCTTCTGGACAGCCTGGAGAAGCAGCAACTCATCTCCCAACTACCAGCACTAGACCTTTGCCAAAAAACAAAACACTTTTGCAACTTTGGTTTATGTAAATGACATGTTATACAAACATAACATAACGATGCCAAGGCAAAAACAAATCAAAACTTAAAATAGTACAAAAAATACTAGGCTGTATTTTTCTATTCCAAGTCAGTTCCTTTCAACATGTAAGATGCAGCAGCTCTCTTCTGTCTGCGTCTCAGATGGGGCTGCTTCTTCACCTTTCCCCGGACGGAGGAATGGATGATGGGGGAAACGATGACGAGCTGGAGGCAGAGCTCCTCAGTCTGGTGGGAGGAGGTGGAAAAGGAGGGCGGCCACAGGGGAAGAAAGGAGACGGAAAAGGTGAGGAAGATGTGCTTGTTTTCTGACCTGTATTTCTCCTACACACGATCACATCGTCAAAGCTGTGTTTACTTACTTCAGTGATGTGTCTGGTTCTGTTCAGCTCCTGTTCCCATGGCTGATATTGAGAGAATGGCAGCTCTTTGTATGAAAGATCCGGATGATGATGAAACTGGGGATGACAATTTGGAGGATGATGAAGATCTGCTGGTAACAAACACTTTTAATCTGTTAGATGACATCAACAGATATATTTTTAAAAGTTTAAATTAGTTTGACAAATGTGCCATATTTGCTTTTTTAAACCTTTTTATTGATTTAAAATTTTCCCTGAAATTTGTGTTAAAATAATAAACTGAAAGTTTTTTTTTTTTAATTTTTAGTTTTTGGGACATGTTTTTGATGTAGAAATCTACTTTAGTCTCTTTCTGGGTTATTAGAAATTGTGAAAAGTTTTTTTTTTTTTTATCATTTATCATGTTAATGTCATGATTGTTATTCAGCTCAGTAAAGTAAATTCCTCATTTCTCATCACTGCTGTTCGTTGCTTTACCTTTGCATTGTCTTTTGCACTGTGCACTACATGTTTCTTGCTTTGTAAACAGGCTGAATTAAATGAGGTTTTGGAGGATGACGAGGAGGTTTCTCCAGCGCCAATGCCTCCTGCTGTCACACCGATTGCTCCTAAAGTAAACGTCACAAGCCATCCTGCTCCTCCTGCTGCTCCCGGTGGTGCATCCGGGTTGGAATCGCGTCTTTTGGAGCGGATTGAAATGTATCAAAAAGCCATCTCTAATGCCAAGGCTGCAGGCGAGACCAGCAAAGTTCGAAGATATGACCGAGGATTGAAGGTGAACCGATGAAGAGAAAAGAAAAAACTCTGATGCAGCTCTTCTTTCATTTACAGAACATACTTTGTGCTCACGATTTTCATTTTCTTAAACTGTAGACATTACAGTCCATGCTGACATCTGTCAAGAAAGGGAAACCAATCAACGAAGAGGAGATTCCTCCACCTGTCGCTGTAGGAGGAGCTTCAAACGCCACGGCTGAGCCCAGCCCTGTGACGGAACGAGACCCACCGGGGCCAGCCTTGATGCCCCCTGCTTCTTCAGCTCAGAAACCACAGAGGGAGGTTGCACCCACAGCTCCAAACACCAAGCCAACTAACCTGTGCCCTCCCCAAAAGCTGACTGCTGCCGGCACCCCAGAAACACCTGCGATCTCTCCACTCACCCCCGTCCAGCCTGGTGCCCAGTACTCCGGTAAACACTTGAGTCCTGACAGTTTATTAGGACGGTCAGGATGGTGGGTTTCTTTAACCTAAATAACAGTCAAATCTATACAAGATGGGTTTTTTATTGTCTCCTTGGTGTTTGCACTTCTTTCTGGTTAAGTTTCTTATTTTAATAATTATTGTCGATACTTTCTTTTGGTTTGATAACTTAGCAGCAATTCCATTTTTATTTACATTTTATAAACAAATGAATTCACTTTAACCAGAAACATATGCAGGTGTAAAGTTATAAATTATGTATATACATCCGTTTAAAGTAGATGGACAACTTTTTTTGAACGTTATTGGTACAAATAAAAATAACAATCTGAGAACAATCTACTGAGACTGAACGAGTAGATCTCGGCAAACTGCCGACTTCAAAAGTAGCTCTTGGTTCAAAAAAGGTTGGGCACCCCTGTTTTACATGCTTTTCCCCAAACATCAGTACAGTCGATTAAGTGTGGGACAATTATTGCATTATATAATAAAATCAGTGCTTTATCATTAAATAGGTTCTTTACTTTGTACAATACTGCAATGGATTTAACTATTTTTGTTCTTAAATAATTTATATGAGCTCTCCATGTTAAATGTTTAATCAAACAAGCTTCATGACTCGTACTTTTTGTGAAACTAATAAATAAACGCAGGTAAATTTTGTTTCACAGGAAACTGAAGTCAACTCACCAGTAAAACATAAAGCTATTAACTTTCAGCTGATGTTCTCTTATTTGTCAGAGATGTTTAACAAGCTGAATTTTGTCCAAATCAGACTAATATAAGCATTCCTAACTCAAACAACCTTTTACAAGCAAACATTTCTTAGAAATGTGCTTTTAGACTTTTTTTTTTCCCTCTCAAGTTTTGCTCTCACTTCGTAAAGTAAAAATGTCTGCTTGGTATCTCATCACCCAGAGCTGAAACAGGCAGTGATGTCGAGACAGAGGGAGTATAAGATGGCTGCCATCCACGCCAAACAGAATGGAGACGTCAACCTGGCTAAACAGCACTATCTCACTGCCAAGGTGACAAAGCCAGTATTTATTTGACCTAATCCAGGCACAGGCGATCCTGGTCCTGGAGGGCCGCAGCCCTGCATGTTTTACTTGTTTCTCTGCTCCAACACACCTGATATGAATGAATAGATGATTATCAGGCTTCTGCAGTACAGAGGACCAAAACTGACATAATTAGAAATAAAAGCAGAATTATATGAACCACTAAATAAATACACTAAAATGCACCGGTTAAATTAAAAAAGGAGAACTGTATCTCCTGTTTTATACTTTAATTGACTTTCATATTTATTTTTTCAGGTTAGTTCCAACAAATTAGTCTATATATTTGAACACATAATTTA